TCAAATTGGATCTGACTGGTACAGGAGAGTCTGGGTTTTTTCCCCCCCAGGTGCCTGTCGGGGCCTGGGTTTCAGCTGTCCACACCACAGCAGTGGGCAACGAGCTTAAAGCCCCTGATGGCTCTGGGCACTGACTCTCACCAGTGGCTATGGATGAAGTCACAGGCGATTTTCAGCCAGCGCCTGTGAAAAGATTCAGTTGAATCTTGAAACTTTGAATGAATGTTTAATAATGACAACCTCCACTTGCCACCCATCTCACTAACTTCTTTTCAGTAGATCCCTAATTCTCCCTCCCCCGTTTTTATTTCCAGTGCCCCATTATTATTTAGGGGCACACTGTCCCATGCTTAGTTCATCCTCTTTATTATTTCCCTGCCTACTCCTTTTGCCCTTTTCACACACTATTGGATCACATTCTTGGGAATGAGAACAAATATGGACCTCATCCAGTCTGTTGGCCAGACAGCTGTCCTCCAAATTTCCTGGCATACACTGATGAGTGCATCCAGGGCTGCATCTGCCAATTGAAACAAGTCAGTTGGTATCCCATCGATTCCTGGAGCCTTATTTTTTTGCCAATGCCTTCAAGGCAGCTTCCACTTCCTCTTTCATTACCATTGGCTCCTGCTCATATGGTACTTCCTGAAATTTTTCAGTGTCAGTTCTTTGTGGTACAGCGCCTCTCTGTATTCCCTTGATACACTTATGATGCTTTCTGGGTCATTCAATATATTGCCCATAGGATCTTTAGATATTGTGACACAGGAGTTAAATTTGTTTTTCAGTCCTGTGCAGAGCTAGTTTCTCCCTTTTTATTCTCCAATGCCAGCTCTCCACACATTTCATTATAATACTTTCTTTAAGTCTTCTCAAGCTGCCCTTTAAAATTTTCTGTTCAGCTTTTACTTCGGCATAGTTTCCCTTTGTTTTTATTTCCTGACACTCTACTGCAGTTTTTAGAGTCGCTTTTGACATCCATTTCTGTTTGTTTTTTCTCTCTCCTCTGTCTTTGTAATGACCTCTTGCTTCTTTTCATAGATGCTATCGAGGACATCATCCTACAATTCATCTGGTCTTCCATAAGTAGTGATAAGTATATTCTTAAGATGATTTTGAAATTCAGATGGAATAGATTCAAGATCGTATTTTGGTTCTTGTGGGCTTATTTCACCTCATGTTCTTTGGGCATGTTGCTAGAAGGGGCTATTCCTTGGAGAGTGGGGACATGATGTTCAGAAAGATGCAGGGTCAGTGAAGGAGAGGAAGACCCTTGATCAGGTGGATAGACACGGTGCTTGCCACAGTGGGCTCTGCTGGGTCAGGAAGTGTGAGGACTCACACCCAGCATCGATGTGAGGCTGGCAGGGGATCCAACAGTGTTTTGTTCTGTTGTACAGAATGTGGCTGTGAGTAGGAGTCGACTCGACAGCACCTCAGAACAATAAGCACAGAAATCATCTATCTCAGCTTTTTGACTGAGAGGTTCCTGTTTTGTTTTTTTTTTAGAGTTGGTGAATTTTGTTTTGTATTAATAAAGTGAATGGTTTCCTATTTCTCTAATTAATTCCTCTTTAGATTTTTTATGGAGCAGTGTTCAGTGTGGGCCTGATTTTTCCTCACTGCTAAGGGAAGACCTTCCTGAGTATTCCATCCACTGACCTATGAACTGGTACCCAGTCTGGTTGGGGGGGAGTTGGCATTTTTCATAGTCCCCTGTGAGCATGTGCACTGTTCGAACAAATCCTTCCAGATTATTCTTTCGTCAGCTCTCACTCATTTCTTTTCTTTTTATTAGGGTTTTTTTTTTAAATTTATTATTAATTTCAATGAAAATTTACAAAGACTTTGGGTTTCTATTCATTCATTGTTGCATTTTTCTCTCCTCCCAACCCTCCCCACTAGTACACTACCCTCTTGGAAAAGTAAAAGAAAATTCTTTAATTGTTTTATTATCCTTCTCCCAGGTCCACTCCACCATGTAGTCTTCGCTCTAGACTCCTGTCATGAGAAAAATACCTAATAACATATCCCTTTTAAACAGTTTTCTCCCTTGTCTGTTTGAATGCAGTGTATATTATTGAGCTCATCTTTCTCAGTCTCCCCTCAACCCCAAGGTCAGTCCTATTTTACAACAGTGGCACTTTGCAGTATTTGTCCTTTTGTGACTGAGATACTTCGCTCAGCATAATGTCCTCCAGCGTCACTCATTTTGAATAATATTGCGTGAGTTCCTTGTTTTTCAACCTCACTCATTTCTTAACGAAGTAGAACAAAACCAGTTTCCGTTTTGTGGTGGTGTGTAGCATTGTAAACTTGTGTCTTCCAGGCGCCCTGGATCGCTGTGTGATGGGGATAACAGCTGTGGAGATTCTCAATGCTTGTGACGAAGCCGTTCCTGCAGCTGTTGATTCGCTCAGTCACCCAGCCGTCAACCTCAAACAAGCTATGACGCGGCGCAGTCTTGCTGCCCTCAAAAATATGGCCCACCATAAGCTTCAGACCCTTGCAACAAACCTCTTGGCTTCTGAGGCATCTGACAAAGTAAGAGTCATACACTCCAGATGTGTGGGCCCCCGTGGACTTTATCTGAAAATAGGACTTTGGCATAGCTCAGAGAATAAGGTTTGACAAGTGGCACTGTTGAAGGGTCAGCCTCTGAGGTTTACATTTATCTAATATGTTCCGAGTGTACAAAGTACCTGGTATTTCTAAAATAATCTCTTAATTAAAAAGTTTAACATTATTCCTTCTGAATTAAATGACTTCAATTTATGATATCAAGGCAAACATTTTATGTGTATTTTGCTGACAATCTTTCTGTTGAAGAACTGAATACTAGCTTATGATGTCTAGTAAAAATATTAATAATTCAGGTATAACTAATTGTGGCTTTTCCTTATTTTCAGGTTAGATTCTGAATTTAGTAAGGTCGAGCCATTACCTCAGTATTTAAGAAACTATTTGAGATGAGTGTGATGGAGTTACATATGTGTTGGCATTTCTCTGGAAGACCTGTGTTGACTCATAGTTCTTAAACTTCACAAGGAATCTAGCATGATCTACCTCCTAAATCAGCAGATCTGGTGCTGGTGCCAGTGAGGTGACTCTGATTGACCACGCCCGTTGTGTGCAGAGTAGAACTACATCATAAGAGGTCTCAAGGCTGCGACCTGGACTGTGACCTTGGGTGCTGACCACCAGGCCTGTCTTCTCAGGCACCTCTCATGGGTTTGGAAATACCAACCTTTTGGCTCATACTCAGACGTGTAACTCTCTTGGTAAGGCCCAGGGACTCCCTGTAAGAGAAGGTGTTAACAGGAGAGCACGCGGCTAAAAGGAGAGGAAACAGTCCCAGGGCGTGAATTGTCAGTCAGTTACCTGTCGTTAACTGTGTAGAGTCAGAATAGACTTGACGGCAACGACAGCACATTCCCTGTTTGGTTTGTGGTGTTTTGCGTTCTGCAGTGCTTTCAGAAACAGTGTCTCTTTGGAAACTGATAAATGAAGCATAAAGCCCCATATTTCATCAGCATCACTGCTTAAAATTTCCAGTTTGCCTTATTCATTCAGGTTGTTAATGGATATATATATATATTCCTTTATAGTCTCTCTTGATAGCTCTCTTTTATTCTCTGTATTCTTGATACCTATTATAAAAAAATTGATTGTTGTTGTTATGTGCTGTCAAGTCACTTGCAACTCATAGTGACCCTATGTACAAAAGTCCTAAATCCTGCTCTATTCTGTGCCAATCTCACTGTCTCTGACACAGCTACTCCCATTACCCCAATCACTGAATCTATCCATCTCATTGAGGGTCTTCCTCTTCTGCGCTGTCATTGTACTCTCCCAAACATGACGTCCTTCTCCAAGGACCAGTCCTTCCTTGCAACATGCCCAAAGTATGTCAGACGAAGCTTCAGAACCCTTGCCTCCAAGGAGCAGCCTGACTTCACCCTCTCCAGGGCAAACCTGTTTGTTCTAGCAGTCCATGGTATATTCAACACTCTTCTCCAGCAGCACAGCTCCAAGGCGTCAATTCTCTTTCTGTCATTCCCTAGTCACTGTCCAGCTCTCCAGTGCATGGCACACAATTGTGAAGACTATAGCCTGGATCAGGCGCACCTTAGACTCCAACTACGTGAATAAATAGGAAAAGTGTTGAAATGCTTATCTGAGTTTTGAAAACCGGCCCATGTCCTGAAGACACAAGGCAGCTGCACTGATCCATATTGTTCAATAATGGAATATTTTCACTCTTTTATCGTTTTGTCTTTCTCTGAGATGGGATTGTTTTCTTGGGTGTGTTATATTGTATGTATAGTAAGTTAGAAATTATTTCCCCCCGCCCCCCATGGTCTCATTCCCTTGCTCTGAACTTTGAGGAAAAAGTCACACCCCAAAGTACTTGCCAGACCTCTGGCTTCTTTCACAGACTCACAAAGATGCCCTTAGGAACTCCGTATGCATTGTCTGACATGCTGTATAATTGTAATTTCAAGCACATATGTAAAACAGTCTATTCAAGGGCCAGCACATACGTTATGTAATTCCCAAATCTATTCTGTTTCTTGATGGTATCTTCTAGAGGTAAAAATTTGGGAACAGTAATTATATAGCTGGAAAAATGGAAGGAAAATTTGCTGTACAGTAACATTTATGAATGCCTTTTGTAAGTGGTCACGGTCCATTATGGGATTTTTACGGTCTTGTTTGTCCCTGTTTTAATAGCGCATTTTATAGTGCAATTAGTGATAAAAGCACCAGATATCAGAGACACCGCACTTACGTATTGTAAAATATATTGCTGGTGAGCCCCCTCCGTCTTGTAGCGGGGGTAATTGTTGCCTGGCCGACAAGGAAAACAATTACAGGAGGGGAAAGGTTTAGGAAGCTGAGGCTGCAGGAGGATAATCACTTTATGAAAAATGGATGTTGGCTGGACCATTAGGGGTTTCTCGAACCGTTTTCTCATGTTGTGTTGGAGGCTCCTTCTGAGGGGAATATTTAAATAGCAGTCCACTCGCTGGATTGTGGCCACGGGAGAAATAAAACGCACCCAAAGTTACAGCAAAACAAAACCCCCCAGAACTAACAGCCCTCTTGGTGCTGTAAGTTTACTCTAGGATATTTTAATAGTCTAAAAAGTCAATTTTTGTTTGGTTAATAAATATTCTTTCATTTCCTCCAGTTGTATTGCACACAAGAGCACACTTACAAATCTTGATAGAGGAAATGACTTGTGAGGCCACTGGGATGAGAAGTATTGGGGGCCTGGAAAAGGATTCAAAAGCACTCATTGCCATGGAGTCACAACTGGCAGATAGCTGATCCTCTGTTGGGTTTCTGAGGCTGTAAATAAAGTGAGAAGAGAAGGCCCATGCGTTTGGTGTTTGGTGGGGTTTGGTTTGGTTTTTTTTTAAGCCATTGATGGATTTGAACCACCAGTAGAGTCATTGACTCGACTGTAGAAATATTGAAGAGTTGTTGGATAATGAGGCATTGTGTAGGTCGAATAAGTAAGATTTAAGAAATGATTGGACAGGCTGAAGAGAGAATTCGGAGGGCTGATAACAGAAACCAGCCTGCATTTTGAGAATAAGAATGGTTTTAGTCAAATATAGCCTGTTACAGAACAGACTTTGGGAGTTCTGCTTGCACAGCTCACCCTGAATGGAGATTGTGTCCTGATTGAATTGACTTTGTCAGGGATGAGTCAGATGACGTTGTGTGTAGGGTGCCTGTCAAGCTACTTTTATCCTTAGAAAAATTCTGAAGTGCGTGACTTTTAGAGAATCAATGAAATTTACTTAGGCTTCCACTCTGAAACTTTAAAGACTATTTTAATAGAATATAAACTTGTTGATTCTGTAATTATTATTAATTTTATTTATATAGTATCCCTTTTTATAACTTAAATTATCAAAGAGATTCAAGAATTCAGTTTGTGATATTATGCAGCATTGAAAAAAACAATAAACTCATCAAGCATTGCACAACATGGGTGAGCCAGGAGGAAATTATGCTGAGTGAAATATCTCAGTCACAAAAGGACAAATACTGTGTAATACAGCTATTATAAAATAGGACTGACATAGGGGGTTGAGGAGAGACTAGGAAAAGAGTGGATAGATAGTGAACATTGCATAGGAAGAGATGAGAGGAAGAATGATCTGAAAGGAGTATATGATTAGGCATTATGATAACAATATGGAAAAAGAGGTACATTGCAAGTTTGTCCCTTTTTTTATTTTCCAACTCCAATTCTTTGCACATTTCATTAGAATACTTTGCTTTATCTTCCTGAGTTGCCCTTTGAAATCTTCTACTCATATCCTTAACTTCCCGATTTTTCCCTTTGCTTTGGCTACTCAGCACACTAGTTCAATGATCAGAGCTTCTTCTGACACCCATCTCTGTCTTTTATCCCTCCTCTGTCTGTAAGGAATGACCTTTTGCATTCTTCATGGGTATTCTTGATATCCTCCCACAGCTTATCTGGAGTCTTTGTTCATTAGTGTTAAAGGCCTCAGACCTGTTCCTGAGAGAGTTTTTAAATTCAGGGGCAGGGAGGTGTGTGTGTAGGGGGGTAGACTGGAGCTTAAATTTTGCTTCTTTTGGATTTGATTTCATTTTCTTTAGCTTCAGTTTGAACTTGTATGTGAGTAGTTGGTTGTCCCATGAAGAACCTACCCCGGTTTTCACAGCTGATCCTGAGTGTCTCCAGCAAATCTTTCCACAAATGTAATCAGTCTGATTCCTGCGAAGAGTATCAGTTGAGGTCTAATCACTGTTGGTATTTTTTACAAGGAGTAATTACAATGGATCTGAACGCTGTGCCATAGTTGTGTCAACAGCAACAACGCAACAAGTAATTGACTATACAAAATTCTATTGTTTTTCTCTCCAAACTCATTTCTGTAACCAAGCCCATGTTTGTCAACTATTCATCCTTCTTCTTTGTTCCCAAATTTTGCATTCCAGTCACCAATTATTAGTAGTACATCCTGGTGGCTTGTTTGATCAATTTCTGACTGAAAAAGTTAGTAGAAATCATCTGTTTCTTCCTCTTTGGCTCTGATTATTGGTGAGTATATTTGAATGATGGTGGTATTAACAGGTGTTTCTTGTATGTACATGGATATTATTCTGTCACTCACTACATCGTTTGTCACGATGGATCTGGAAATGGTCTTTTTATCTATGAATGTGACCCTGTTTTTCCTGACTGTTTAATTTCCAGCATAGTAGATCAAATGATTAGGATATCATTTTGGATTTTTTTCTAGTTCTCATTTACATCATTCTTGCATGTGGGGAATGATTTGAAATACTTTTAGCGCATTTTGAAATAACAGATGATTTCTGAGCTTGTCTTCCCATTTTGTTTTGTCCTGGTTCTTTTTTTTCACAGTCATTTTATATGTGATTTCATCACAATACTTCAGCTGCTTATTGCCTTATAAAATGGTATTTGCTCATTTTTTAAATGAGTAGTTCAGATCGCTTTTCTACCTTCTCAGAGCTGCCTCTGCTGTTGG